ATCTGGGAGGGTCACTTGAGTTCAGGAGTTTGAGCCCAGCCCAAGGTAAGTTAGGAAGACTCCAGCTCTTTAAAAAACAAAAACAGGCCGGGGATATAGCTCAGTGGCACAAACACCTGCCTGGCAAGTACAAGGTCCTGAGTTCCATTCCCTGCACCAAAAAAATAAAAAATAAATTAAAAAAAAAAAAACAAAAAAAAAAACAAGAAAAACTCCCTGTCAATCGGAGGTTGAGGCTGGGAGTGGCAGCGCACACCTGTAATCCAAGCACTTGGGAGGCTGAGGCAGGAGAGACACCAGGAGTTTGAGGCCAGCCTGGGGTACACAGTGAGTTCAAGGCCAGCCTGAGCTACATATCAAGACCCTGTCTCAAAAAGCAAAGAAAGTACATACCTATAATCCCACCTATTTAGGAGGCTGAGGCAGGAGGATCACAATCCATTTAAGCAGGGAGGTAGGGATGCAGCTCAGTGACAGAACACCTGCCCAGCATGCTCGAGGTCCTGGGTTCCATCCCAAACACTCTAAGGGGCAGGGGTTTGGAGCCCCGAGGTGCACACTACGGTCCCAGCAATCAGGAGGCTGAGGTAAAAGGATCACCTGAGCACAGGGGTCCAAGACCAGCCTGGGCAACAGAGACCCGTCTCAAAGAAAACACACTGTAACGTAACAGACCACGTGTGCTCTTGCTCTTGTGCCCCCCTCCAGTAGTGTGGGACCCCACACCATCGCACACTAAAACAGCTAAACGTGGGACTGGCTCAGCAAGGGATAGTGAAGCTCCCAGCCAGCGAGGGGCCCAAGCTGAAAGAAACAAAACCTGCTTCTCCTGGGCGCTGTGTGCCGCCCAGGACTGGTCTGACGGGCCCTGCAGTCTCCAGGCGCCGCCCCCTCCCTCCCCTGCCCACGGGCCTCTCCCGCCCTGCACCGGGAAGGCCACGCTCAGTCTCCTCCTTATCCCGTGGTCTGAGACACACAGTCACTCACCTGGGTCCCAGGGCAGCCCTGCCAAAGGTGCCCGGCCCGGCCTTATAAGGAGAAGCCGGACCCAGGGAGAAGCAATCAGGAAGCAAAGATAGGAGGGAGGGCAAACGAGGGAGGTGTCCCAGCCAGGGAAGGGGAGAGGCCAGGGCCTTTCTCCTCCCACAAGGGCAGGCCGGGAGAGGAGGCCAGGTACACAACCTGGAAGAGGGAAAGCGCCAACAGCAATGGGAAGGTGTGCAGTGGCTAAGTCTCCGGTCATAAAAGAAAAATCCTACGATAACTGGGGCCTCTCGGATTCTACCCCCACTTGGCCAGAAAGAAAATGTTCATGGAAAGGCTTAACCTTAGGGTTTGCTAAGGGTCACACAACTGTTTGAGCTCGCATTCCTTTCTTTAAAGGGGCAGCTTCTCACCAAAGCCCCTCACGTCCTAAGACGGCATCCCAGCTCTTTGCCCAGCCTTCTTTACTGAGTCAAGCAACGTTGTCCCTGCCCTTCCGCAGGGTTAGAACACCCCCTGTATGGACAAGCGCCTGGGAGAACGGTGTGGACGTGGTGGCACACGCGGTGACCCCAGTGCCCTGCAAGGACGAGACAGGAGGACTGCAAATGGGAGCCGAGCCTAGGCAATTTAGCAACTCAGCGATAACCGAATTCTACAGTGCTGGGCACAGTAGTACATAGCAGCCATCCCAACACTGGAGGCCTGAGGCAGGAGGAAAGCAAGTGTGAGCCCAGCCTGACTAATTCAGTGAGACCATGCCGCAGAACAAAAAACATCAAGAGGGCTGAGGGCCCGGGATACAGCTCAGTGGCACAGTGCCTGCCTGGCAAGCGCAAAGTCCTGAGTTTGAGTCCCAGTACCAAAAAAAAAAAAAACAGGGATGAGCTCTGTAGCCCATTGCAAAGGCCCTAGGTTCAATCCACAGTGGGGGGGGGGGGGATTTTTTTTAATTCAATCAAGGGATGTGTCTGTTTTTTTGTTGTTGTCTTTTTGAGACAGGGTCTCGCTATGCAGTTCAGGCTGGCCTTGAACTCACTTTGCAGCCCAGGCCAGTCTCGAACTCGCATTGATCCACCTGCCTCAGCCGCCTGAGTGCTGGGATTACAGCACTGAGTGCTGGGATTATGCGCCACCACGCCCGGCGAAGTGTCTGTTTTCTTGAGACAGGGTTTTGTTATAGAGTATAGACTCACCATGTAGCCTAGGCTGGCTTGGAACTCAGAGCAATCCTCAGGCTTTCAACACCCCACCAGGCTGTTCGGGAAGTAATAAAGTCTAGGTAAAGAGAAAATGCCTTTTTTTTAAGTATTGGGGACTGAACCCGGGCCGGGGTCTTCGCACTGAGCTACATCCCCAGACATTTTTAATTTTTTTTTTACATTTTGACAAGATCCTGCGGGAACTGTTCAGGCCGACCTTGATCCCTCAGCCTCACGCTCTCAGAGTGCTCAGACTGCGGGTGCCTGGCACCACACCCTGCAGGAAATACAGTATTTCTCTCTAGTGAAGGAGAAAAGCCAACTCTAAAGGGGAAGTAAAATTGGTTATTACTGACCTCCCCTGGAAGTTTTCACACATAACCCTCCCTACTCCACTCTCAGAGGTAATGTGTCCTCCCACCAGTAGTTGCCAGGCTGGGCTCAAGTGACCCTCCTGCCTCAGCCTGTAAAGTAGGGACCACAAGCAGGCACACCACTCCCAGCTAATGTCCCTTTTTATGGATGAGGAAACTACACATCAGAAGTAATTAGTATCTTGCTCAAGGCCATGGGCTAGTAAGTGGTAGAAACACAGCCACTCTATTTTGATTTATTTTTTGGTATCTTGAGACTAGATCTCACTGCCTAATCTAGGCCAGTCTTGAACTCACTGGGTAGCCCAGGCTGCCCTCACTCTGGACCCTCCTGCCTCAGCCTCCCAAAGGCTGGATCACAGGCGTGTACTACCATGCCCAGTTTGAAACACAGACACTCTACTCCACTCCATCCCCGGATAGTCTCCCTGGTACAGCAGGAGGAGTACGAATTTCTGTGCTTCCAAGGATTGAAGTCATTCTAAGTCTAATAAAGAAATAAACAAAAGAAAGCTTTTTGTCTACAGAGAGGAAGGGCAACAAGATAAAATGGGGTGGAACCAGCTGGATCATAGGATCTTACCTTCACTGTATTTATTTATGGGGTTTTTGTTTCTTTTGAAACAGGGTCTGCTATGTCTTGTTCAGGCCAGCCCTGAACTCACTCTGTGTCCCAGGCTGACTTCAAACTAGCAGTGATCCTCCTGCCTCAGCCTCCCTAGTGCTGGGATTACAGGTGTCAACACCAGAGGAGGCTCCTTAACTTCACCTTGAAGAGCAAGACCTTACTCAACCCTAGGGAAGAGAAGCTTGCATTGCACTTAGATTTCTTCGTTTATGAAGAACAAATACTCAAGAGGAAAGGTACTAGGGACAAAATAGGTCCTACTTTGTACCAATTACCAATCACCCACCTTCCACTGGCAAGCCTGCTCTAGAATTCTGGCTACATGCCCCATTCTTGGATCACCTCCATCTCAAGGAAGAAAATACAATCACAAATGTTCCTACTCTCATTCTTAATGTCACATCTCACTAAACCAAGAGCAAAGGCCAAGCTGGTGTGGGAAAGAGAAGGAAGCAGGCCTCGGGAGTCAAACAGAGCCGAGGGATTGTTCTGCAATCTCCCGGTATGTCAGCAATCTGCCTCCAGGGCAGCTGCCCTCCTGGGCAATCAAAGGCGGGTTTGTGTGTGCTCAGGGCAGGCCAGCTGGGCTACACGCCGAGGACTCAGCCACCCCCTGCCCAAGTGTGAGAAGATGCCCACTTCACTGCCGGAATACAGGGAGGAAAAACAGAACAAGAAGCAAAGAGAGAAGCAGGGGACAAAGGACGCTACAGGTGCTACTCAGTCTAGACACGGGGAAATTCCAGGAAATTACTAACCATTCCCTAGCTCTGTGCAAACCAAAAGAACAGGTAGGCGTCTCCCGTTCTGTCGCAGCGAAAGGCCACACCAAAGGGTAAGCCCTAAGATGCAGCGCCATTACTTGTCTCGGGCTCCCGAGGAGTACAAAGAGGGCACAGACCTCATTTAGCATCTCTCTCCTAGGAAGCCCTCTTAATTAAATCCTAGCCATCCATAAAAACAGTAACACACACAAAACTCAGTAAGCTCCTTGACGCCGAGATCAAGGCTATTTACATGACTCAAGTGCGAGGACTAAGGGGCTGCACCCGGACTCACACCCTCGGTCCTGGGCAGCGCGATGCTGAGGCCCATCACATCCACAGAACTCTTCCCAGCGGAGGCCTGGGCAGAGCTGCTCTCCAGGGACAGAGGCTTCACAGGAGAGCCACAGACAGCGCCCCTCTTGCTCCCCCACTCCCAGCTTTCTCACTTCCTGTCACAGTAGCACCCGACCACAGTCTCCCAGAAACAAACAAACACAAAGTGCTGGATTCTGGGCTGCAAGCCAGCCGCATTCCAGGGCATCCTGTCTACCAATCACCAGCCGCGCTCCCGCTTTGCCCTGCTCCGCTCCTTATCATGTTCGGGAAAACAACCCTCCTCCCAGCCCCAAGCCAAGGCTGCACAGGACAAAGCTCAGGCTGCTAAGAATCAGCAGATCGTGGAGCACTGAGTGGGTGGGTTCCTAAGAGTTTCCAGGGGTAAGGGATTTCAGAGTTCTTACTTACCAAGTTTCTTCACTGTGGAGACAGTAACACTTGGGTTTTTTTGATTTTTTTTTTTTTTTTTTGTCTTTTTGAGAAAGGGTCTCACTATACAGTTCAGACTGGCCTTGAGCTCACTTTGTAGCCCAGGCTGGTCTCAACTCACAACAATCCTCCTGCCTCAACCTCCTGAGTGCTGGGATTACAGGCATGTGCCACCATGCCGGCCCGACACGGAGGACATTAAAACTACCCTGTCATATTCAGTTCAGCAACATGTGACATGCCCCCAAGGAAGTGTCTTCTCAGCGATCTGATCACCTACCTGCATTCAGTCGTGTACCAGTCCCACCGGAACTACCCTGGGACATACCCTCTGGCACCGTCTACCACCCAGTTCTGCACTCAGAGCCTTTCAAACTTCCTGCGAGCACAGAGCTGATTCCTGAGCAGGCCCCACCGAGAACAAACAAAGGCAGCAGACTCCACCCTGGCGAGTGGCAGTTGATCAAGTGCTGGGGCAAAGTTCCTACTTCTTTAGAGAAGGAGAGGGCCACTAGGAGTTGCACTGTGGCCGGCGGCCAAGAGGTCACAACAGCAACCTCGGCCTTTCCGGTTGGGCCGGGGAACTGCAACCCAGTGAGAAAAGAAAACCTCCCTTCCTAATAAGGGGCCTCTGCTGGATCCAAGAGTGGGATAAATGATACATTTTTCTATTATCTTGAACAGTCCACTGGAAGTCAGCCCTAAACCCAAAGAGCTGGACTCCCTGTGTATAAACAGTACTATCAGCAGAAATCTCCAACAGGGGCATTCCAGGCAACTAACTAGTATACTCTCTTCCCTCCTCTTCTTTTCTTTTCCTTCTCCCAGGTCCTCCCACACCCCATTCTTGGACCTGGTAAAAGCACCGTGGACCAAACCCTAATCTCCGCAGTCCGTGATGCAACGGGAGCTGAATCCAAACCAGCACAATTCAGAAGGATTAGTCCTCACCTGGACCTGGTACAACCAGGTGGAGGGGTAGGGCAGGAATATACACAATAGTCAGCCATTCCAGGCTTGGAGAGAGAAGAATAGCGAGCAATACAGTACATTGAGAACACAACTTCAGCAGCAGGGATTGGCCACTGTAAAGTCTGTCGCTGAAGCACACACAAGCCAAAGTTTAAGGTCTCCCACCCAGGACCAAAGCAGGCTGACTTCCTTCTCCTCTCGGGAATGCCGAAGCTGGGCCTGGTGGTGCACACCTGTAATCCCAGCACTCAGGAGGTTGAGGCGGGAGGACCACATAGAGTTTGAGGCCAGTCTGTACTACACAGCGAGATCTTGTCTCAAATAAACCAAAAAAAAAGAAGAAAAAGCTAGCATTCTTACCCAATGCGCCCCTACTCATAGCACAGATCGAATCAATCAAACCCAAGCTCCAGAGATGGGCACACAAAAACTCACAAGTAGCAGCTTCTAAGGGAGCAGAGTTTTCTGAGATACTTTCAAAAAGAAAAAGCTGCAAAAGACACACCCTAGACGGAGCCCTCCACACACCCACATCAACGCTGCCGTGGCTTGCAAAGGATGCTTGGCAGGTTCTGTGCAGGTGAGAGAGACAGAACGCCGACTCAGAAATACAGCCAACTGCCGTGCGAGGGCGAAGGGGGCTGAAGAGCATGCCACCTACCACTACCCAGCCACGACAGAGGACAGCTGTGTGCAGGCACTCACGGAAAAGCCAACCAGCGGGGGACAAACGGGCAAGAAGTCCTGGAGGGCACTGGATGCGCCACCACGGCAAAGACGAAATGCTTGCTGCCCAGCTTCCTCACCACCCTCTCCAAAGAAGGCCCGAGCTGGCAGGGCTGGAGGAAGGGGAGGCAGGGAGAAGAATGTGACCGGGAGCAGTCAGCTACATTCCAGCTAACCAACATCCCACAGAGTCCTGAGGATGCCTAAGAGTCCAAGCCCGCCACACTCGCAGTTCCTGGGACTCTGCCGTGTGGTTCCAATTCTTCCACCACCCCTCACCCTCCACCCTCTGAAAAGAAGGGTAGTTGAGATGGGCTGATGAAGGCACCAGCTGTTTCCACCGCGCCGCCCTGCCCACCCCTCCCCCTCCGGGCCGCAGCTCACACTCACATCAAACACTGACCTCGGCTGCTGGTCAGGAGGAAGAGCCTGACTGAAATGGCAGGAAGGGCGCCAACTGGCCTCGCCTGGAAGGGATGCTCTCGTGCTCAACTTGAAAGTAAGAAACTTTTGTTTCTGCCCAACTATGCTCTTCCTCTGTATCAAATGGGTTTCAATTCCTTCCCTACAACTCCTTGGCTTATTTTTAACTATCAGAGAATACGGGGGAGGAGTGTATAAAATGAATGTAAAATAACGCCTGGGAGATTAGGTTTCCTGGACTGCCAAAGCCAAGCTAGTGCAGGACTCCCAGGTAAAAGGGAGGGGACAAGGGCGCCCGCAGCAGCAGGGCAGCCACACCTCAGCAGTGGTGACGCAACTTCCTAAAGCACAGCTAACTGACTAAGAGCAGCAAGGCCAGTTATCCCCCACCCAAGTTCCAAGTTGGCCAGAGTTGGGCAAGAAGGAAGCAAAGGAAGCCAGTACTTCCTTTTCAGACAGGAAGTAAATTGGCCTTTCCTGTCCAGTTTTAAACAATTTGTCCAGCTGAATTTCAATGCTAACTTCCTCTCCTGAATTTGCTCCACAATTTCAAAATGGAGACAAGTTTCCCTTCCTCCACATCATGCTGTGTTGGCATAGCCTCCACATCAATGGTAACATTTGGAATTCAAGATCACGCTAACCACCTCTCACCACATGGACTACGGAACCACTACGCTTCTGTGCTTCCCATGCTACTGAAATAGCCACCGCCTGAGAAACAACTCGTAGCTTAACTCAAATGTTCAGGTTTTGTGGTCCTCAAAGGTGACCCCTCAGAATCACTTGGGAAGGGGGCTGGGGATTTAGCTCAGCGGCACAGCGCCTGCCTGGCAAGTACAAGGTCGTGAGTTCGATTCCCGGTACCAGAAAAAAAACAACAACGAAAAGAAGAATCACTTGGGAAGCTTTTTGAAAAAAACAAAATGTACAGTCCCCTCACCTCAACTGGGGAGAGGACGGCTAGAGATTCATGTGTTCAGCTTCTTTTTTGATTGTTTGCTTGTTACCTAGGACTACCACATGGAGCCACATCCCCTGCCCTTTTGTTTGTTGGGTTGTTTATTTTGAGACAAGATCTTGCTAAATCCAAGCTGGACTCCAGGTTCTCATCCTCCTGCCTCTGCCTTCCAGAATGCTAGGATTACAAACATGTACCACCACATCAGGTTTGGAAATTCATGTTTTTAAAAAGTCCCATAGTGGCCAGGGATTAGCGTTAGGAGCCTACTACAGAAGAAACCCTGTCTCAAAAACCAAACGAAACAGAAGAATTCCTTCAAGGAACAAAGAGCTGTGCCATGTTTTCAAAGACTGGTTCCATATTCTATCCCAAAAGAAGTCCAAAGCCTTAAATCTAGCAGCCAAGACTCAGGTATTTCTAGTTCATTTGACAGTATATAAGAGAAATAACCAGAAATCCAGATTCCAGGGTTACCTGACATTTACCCACGCAAGTCACTTTAAGAAGCATGGAACCAAACTGTCTTTCAAAGAACAAGGGGGAAGGTGAGGGGCTGGTGGAAGAGCTCAGGAGTAGAGCTAGCACAAATCTGGCTCTGAGTTCCACATGACAAAAGAACAACAAAAAGCCAAGGAGAAAGTATTTCCATAAGGAAGCACATGTCACTGAAGACAGCACAAAAGGGCAACGAAAGACAGACACTCATGGCTGGACGTGGGGGCACACGCCTGTAATGCCTGCACTGGAGAGGAGACTCACGGTTCCAGACCAGCCTGGGCTACACAGTGACTTCAAGGCCAGCTTAAGCTACGTATCGAGACCCTGTCTCAAAAGACCAAAAACAAATTTTAAAATTTTCTTAAAAAGACATACTACTGTTGGGCATGGTGGCACACACATGTAATCCCAGCACTCGGGAGGCTGAGGCAGGATTGTTGCAAGTTTGAGACCATCCTGGGCCACAAAGTGAGCTCAAGGCCAGCTGAACTGCATCACAAGACCCTGTCTCAAAAAGACAAAAATAAAAACAAAAAAAATACACACTATCATGATAATCACAAACACCTCAGCCTTATTTATACCTCCTTAAGTAATATATATCAACCAGTTATTTAAACGAACTTCAAAGTCTTGGGGAATGAATATTTCCCAAGACAATAGTTACCTGACCAAAGAAGGGAAGTGAAGGGGACAAAATGCCTCTGGATTAAGGTCATATTCCAAAGATATTAAGTAACAGGATGTGAACTATCTAAGTACAATTAAAGGGAAGAAAGGAGGATAACCCGGTCAAGAACTAGGGCTAAAAACTCTCTCAACAGAGAAACAGACACACAGAGAGATTCTTTCACTAGGTGACAGACTAGCTGAACCAGAAATCTTGAGAGGAAAGTAAGAGTAGTGATTCATGACACAGGTCCTCTGCTCATCAAGCATCTTTTGACTTCCTTATATGGGGCTGCCACAGAATATCAAATCACTGATCAGCTGCTGATTCTTCCTCAGCTCCATCAAAATCAGTGGTCACTCTGATAACCCCTAATGAGCTACACACCTGCTCACAGCAAGGGGAAATAAAGACTTGCTTATCAGGAATGATCACTGACCATGATGTCAGGACAGAAATATGAACATGGTAACCTGTCAACTGCTCCTTCATCGCCATTGTGGAAAGGACGAGAGGAGGAGGGAAGGAGAAAGAGAGAATAAAAGAGAAGAGTAAGAAACAATGAAGTGGGGCCAGGACGTAGCTCAGCGACACAGCACCTGCCTGGCAAGCATAAGGTCCCGAGTTCAATTCCCGGTACAAAAAAAAAAAAAAAGAAGAAAATCAGTCCCTGAAGCCTTCAAATCCCAATGATCACAGAGCTTGAAAGAAGCAAGAACTTTTGGTTGAGCACAAGCAGCAGCAGAAGACAAGGGGGGCAAGTGTGACATTTAGTCAGACCAACAGCTCTGTCCTCAAAGGGAAACTGTACCAGGTCCCACTGTCCGTCCCTCCTCCTGTTTGAAGAAAATTATGGAGAGCTAAGAAAAAGAAATTTGTTCTCCGCTCCCAATCACATAAACTCACTCCTAGCTGCTCTAATATCACCATCCTCCAAGACAAGGTCATCAGCCTGCCCAAAATCTGAGACTCCGCAAATTCCGAGGCTGGACAGGTGCTGCCTCCCCAAAGAGGACCCCACACAAGCGGTAAGCACTGTTACTGCTGGGCCCGAAGCCAAGAGACATTTTCTCAGCGCTGACTGGTACTGAGCCAGGTCCTGCACCGTTCCCTTCTCCCCTGCACACCGTGGGCCCGCTGCGGGCTGGTCGCTACCCTCTCCCCATCTCTTGCTCGCGGGCAACGAGGCGCCTCAAGGGTCTCTGCACTTCCCACCCCTCAAATCCGCAAGGCTGTGCCTCTCCGGCACACTGCACACTGGGGCTCCCCAGCCCACTCCACTCAGCACCCGACAGCAGCCGCACCCCCGACCCTTCAGGTACCTACCTGCTTAGCACCACTCGCCTC